GAACTTGCGTGATCCTTCATGTAGCGCGTTAACCACCGTGCGTGTCGCGGAGTGGTGGAAGTGCCCTTTCAAGTTTCGTGAAAGAGGACCTGCTGCGGCGAACGTTCATCACCATCTTCATCTTCATCGACGTTGTCATCATCTCCCTCCAACATTCCAATCTCATCTTCCTCTTACTTTGTTACGATTTTGTCCGACTTCGCCTCTTACTTACGGCGACTTTAGTTCGACCTCAGTGTTTTCGCAGGAGATCGATTGGGTATCCTACTGCGTCGGTCGTTTGGATCTGAAGCGCACGCACTAGGGGTAGCGCTTGACCTCATTTGTGTAGATATGGTTGATGGCGGATACGGCGGGCAGAACCGTAACTGCTATAACTGCGGTTTATACGGGCACTTTGCGCGCTGGTGTCCATATCCTCCAAGGAATAATTCGTACGCTGGATCTCCGAGAGGCGATGGCTACGGCGCGCATAGAACTGGAGGGAATGAGATACCTGTGCGCAACGACGGATACGTTCAAGGAAGACCGATCCTTCCCCCGCCAGCACCTCAAGTACCTGCACTGCCGGCTCCGCCTGCTGTACCCGCTCCGCGTGTTGATCTGGCTCCGCCACCTCCGCTGTTGCAAGCTCCCGCGCCAAGTGCTTCCAACGCAATCGTTCCATACCAACCACCACGCGGCCGTATGAATGGGAACGGAGGACGAGGATGGAACAACAGGCCGTGGGATATCGGGAGTGATGGCGAAGGGCTCATGATCTTACGGGAAATCTGAAATGAAAGGCGGGAAGAGCGGGAACGAAGGCGGGATGAGGAGGACTGTAGAGCTAGAGAGGAGCAGGCCAGGTTGGCCAGAGAGGAGGAAGAACGTAGATTGGCACAGGAAGAGAAGCGTGAAGCGGATCGGGAGGCAAAAATGGCACGTATCTTGCGGGAATCCATGGAGGAAATGGGACTGATGAAAAAAGACGGAGCCACCGATGCCAGCAAGATGACTTGGGATAAAGTAGATCCGCCTCAGAAGGAAGGAGACGCTAGCAAGAACGGCGAAGGTGGCGACAGCAAGAAAAGGGACCAAGGTGCTATGGCTGGTCCGGAAATCGCACAACAGCTAGGGACAGGCAGACCACGTGTTGAGAGCACCGCCACACCTCTGGATACTGGACTGATCAGAATGGATATCAATACCGTTAGACTAGCGCAGGACGCACAGGCAGCGATGTTCAAACAGATGCTGAACTGCTTGGAAGCTATTAGACAGCAGGGGGCGGGGATCGGGCAGGCTCCTGCTCCCGTTCCAAACCAGGCCCCTCCCTCCCATCCCTCTCCTCCACCTCCTGTTCCCATTTCCAATCAGGCTCCCCCATCTCATCCTCCCCCTCCACCTCCTGTTCCCCAGACTTTCCCTGCTGCGACCCAGGCTCCCTTTGTGGCTCCTCCCCCGATGAATTCCTCTCCCAATCCCACTCCTCAGGCTCCCCCCAAACCTCCCGCTCACGTCCCCTCCACCCCTGCAGCTACTCTGGCTCCTTGTCCCAGCGTTACTGCAGCCGGCCCGAGCACATCCAGAGCGCGGCCTGCGAACGAAGGCACCCCCGCTGGGGGACGCTTTTCTTCTCGACTTGCTGGAATGTTCGCATCGGTCGCTGGCCACAACACAAGGAGACGTTCCAATGGCATCTCTATCAGCGACGAGCCTGTCCATCAGGATCTGGGCTTTGATCGGATCAATAAGGGCAAGAAAGCGGCTGTGGCGGGACTAGGGAAAGAAGGTAGGAAGAAGTATATTGAAGATCTGACGGAGGTTTTGTTCAACAAATCAAAGCACAAGCTGGAAGAGCTGTGCAAACAGGACAAGATAAAATACGTGAACAAGAAGATTACAAGCGCTGCCTTGGCGCAGCTCCAGGCCATTGATGCGTACGGCGAAGATGAGGAGGAGGAGGAATCTTCTGAGGAGGACGCTCAAGAAGAGAATCCTTCCTAAATAGTCCTTTGATGTCCCCTCTGCCTGGCTTGAGCTTGAGAAGTTAAGAAATGAACGGAAAAGGAAAGGATGGCGAGGTGCTGCTGCTCACTATTGTGATCAGATGATGCGTTTTTTAGTGTTGTTTTTGGTTTTTTCTCATCAACTGGCTTGGGCAGAGAAGTTCGCCCACAATTGGAGAACGTTATTGCAGGAAGGTAAACCAATATGCGAGTATGATGCGCCATGCGTTTATATTCTCATATGACCATGGTTCAGGGCTACGTATGTCGGGTCTACGACAAGGTCATTAAGCATCAGATGGGGGGAGCACGTTAGGAGGTCTCTCCAATCGGGTGATGGCAGGAACCACCGGCTTAGTAGATGGTTTCAACGTAAGCATTGGTCTAGTTATGTGGCGATTCCTGTGGCTTTCCCGCCTGAGAATGAGATTCGGGACATTGAGAGTACCTTTATAATAAGTGGTCCCCAGTTCTCAATTGTGTGAAGAGAAGAAAAAAGAACTGTAGACGAAAAGGTCGTAGGGAACGATGCTCTTTCAGGCTCAGACAAGAAGGATGGAGAGAAAGAGACCCGATCTCGGGCAAAGTGGTTAGGTGGGAGGCGTCTTCCGTGTCTCTGCCTGTGCCTGACCCCTGGGAACCCTCCTCACCCTCCTACTCCCTGATGAGACTTTTGAATGATTCCTTGAATGCGGGTCACTTGCAGATCATGATTGCTAGTTTTGGGGGAGATTGGTTTACCGATTCATGGAGTAAACTGTGTCGTTTGTTCGGATAGTCCGTGGTTGAATACAAAGGGAAAAAGTTCATTTTGAAGGACTTGAAACGGGAATTTCATACTGGTGGGGTTTTCTGTTTTTTTTTAAATCAAACACAGATGCAGCCTTACCAAGCTTCGGAAGGATATTCTCGTTTCTCTACTAGAAGTACCTAGTACCAGGGAAGGACTATACAAAACAGGATTGAATCACTTGATTAAGCTCTATAATTCCATTGAAGTGTTTCACAAGGATTGGGCGAAGGCTATTCTGAAAGGGGTGGTTGGTCGAGCCTTAACAAAGGCATGCGGGTTCCGCTGCCTAACACCGGTCGTCATTCGTGTTACCTTCGACGATCGCATCAGGAAAAAGAAGGTGCATGACCTCACTAAGGCTATCATTAGGAAACGGTGTCCCACGAGTTATTTAGCCGATTTCTTGATTTCCAGAATGTGGGTGGTGTGGACGGGTAACAAGTCTGTCGCTGATAGGCTGCACTGTCACAGGAAAATGTCTCGACAAGCCTTTGTTGTTTGTGTCTGTTCCAGGATTTGCAAGGACCTCCCACGAAACAGTGAAGGTCACGTGGTTTTCCGCTTTTCTCAGGTTGATTGCATCCCTGCGTCACTTAAAAATGCTAATAATATTCTACCTCCGGCATGGTCGACAACGGTTGGAAAATTAAGAAAAGCACTCCTCGACGGTCTGGCTACTGTTCCCAGTGCCGACGACTGGTTAGGAGGTCATAAAGCTATCCGGGCCTGCCTCAATGACCAGAGCAGGCCTCTGATTGACGAAATGGATGATGCTGAAGTATGGAAGGGAATATTGAATGGTCTGGTCATCGCACCCATCGACCACAATTCGGGGGATTCCTTCGTATGTTGTGCCTCTATATATTTCGAAGCCCTGAAAGGATTGTATTGGGGTAATGATGGGTTCAGTATCGAAAAGCGAACTGAAGAAGAAATTATGAGGTCCTGTAAGGCTGCCTTTTTCCGATGTCAGGCACAAAGGCTGGCAAAATGGGACAGTAAGGGTTGTTTAGGATGGGCTTATGGGATCCCGAAACACAAGGACGTGGCCCGGTGGAGACCCATAGAGCCCTCCTTTTCCGAACCAAGTGTAAGGGCGTGTAAATTGATCGCCAAGGCGGTCAACGGACTGCTGTGGAAAATCCCTGAGACATCTCGTTTTAATCTTAAGAGCACCAGCTTGATGGCAAAACGAATTGAGAAGTTGAATTTGAAGGCTACAAAGATGACTGAGGGGTTGTTGCTTGCTTCCAGTTTCGACATCAAGGAAATGTTCACCAAGTTGCCTCAAGACGAGATCTTAAAGGCGGTTGAGTGGCTATGCGAGTTCTTCCTGGCTAAAGGTCACAATGCTGTTCGTGTCAATAATAGAGGTAAGGGTGTCGTACTAGGAAAAGGTTTTGGAGAAAAAGGGTGGACCCGGATCCAATTCCGACTGATGATAGACTTCGTTAAATTCGATTTAGATCACTGTTTTTCCAAGGTCTCGTCTCTTATCATTCGTCAAACCATAGGAATTCCGATGGGAAAAAGCTCCTCCCCTTCCCTGGCATGCCTTCTATGCGCACACCACGAGTTCAGTTTTCTGGATTCTTTGGGTAAGGATCGCAAGTTGATAGCCGGTCTTAGGCTGGTGGACGATGTAGCCCTTTTTCTGATCCTCCCAAACTCATCTCAGTCGATGCTGGATAAGACTAAGGCGATCTTTTCTCAGTTTCGTCTTATCTACAATCACAACCTCAATCTGATCAGAACGGATGACAGGTATGGAATCTTTGATTTTCTGGGTTGCCAAGTGATCACCCAGACACAGCCACCAAGGGTCCACTGCGACGCTTTGACGAAAAATCAAAGGGATATATGGGACAAAGGCATTACTTTCCAGACTACTAAGGACTACTACTCATACGGACCGAAGAAGCAGAAGATCGGGGTTATCAAAGGACACCTTAGTAGGATCAGGGCCCACTCCTCCGATTCCAGGGGAGTGGGCTTGTGTCTTTTGGCTCTGAGAAGGGAACTCAGGTTAAAACGTTTTCCAAGATGGATGTTTTAGAAAGCTCTGGAAGATTTCTCAGCGGCCAACGAAGGGTGCTGAGACTGCTGGGTCAAGATTTTTCGCGAAGGGTTCAGGCACTACCGACAACTAACGTAGCGGGCAAATTCTGGGTAGTCGGATATCGTCCGTCTGCAGATCTCCTCCTCGGCATCTTGTCCTTTTCAAGTCTTGGCTGGCGGAGTTATCGACGTGTGAACCTCTCCAAATATCCCGCGCTAAGTGTGCGCAACTCAAATACCTGTCCGACACCCCCACCTATCCCGAAATCTCCTGTGTCTGCGGTTCCCTTTCAACGTTTCTACTTCTCACCTCTTCAGACAGATCTTCTCAATCACAAACAGATCTCCTCAACCCCGTACTTCCCCCTGCCTCTTTCGTCATGAACTGCACTAGTTCCTGCCCATCCCTGAACCTGCCTGCCTCCACCTGCTTTCCCGCCTCCTGTTTCCCACGAACTGCACTAGTTCCCGCCCATTCCTGAACCTGGCTGCCTCCACCTGCTTTSCCGCCTCCTGTTTCCCACGAGAATGGTACARCACAGGATCGCTACGGTAGCGGCTTGGCATTGAGCTCTTCGAGCCTAGGCAGTAACTTCGAAATGATGAGAGATACGACACTATTTAAGACTTCTTCTAGAGTAGGCTCGCAGGCGCAACTTCCCCTGATGATGGCCATAGCGACGTAGTGGCCGAAACTAGTCGGGAATTCGCCGATCCCACTCCTTGGTGTGTTACGTTTTTTCTTTCGGAAGTGGGAGTACACGTTGCGCCACCTG